TGGCAGTGCCCTCCTCTACCAAGTTAGGAGGATGTCATTTTCCTTTGGATGGTGCTGTGAGTGGCTTACTTAATGACCGGGTCAGTTCCTGGCTAAGGGGGTGTTTGAGCCCGGGACTTGCTGCTTCCGCATTCTTGGCCTCTGAGCTCTGTCGGTGCTGACTCCCAGCTAGTCTTCTCTCTCTGCCTACCAAAGATTTTTTTGGTACCCAAGAAGCCCTTTTTAGCTGCTCCTCAGCCTCATCACTTTGCCTCTTCCAGGTGCTGGGAAATGAGGCACCTGTTAGAAACTTGGCTGGCATAAAACAAAAGTGCCCCTCTCACTGATAAGGCAAGGTTCTCTCAGCCGGCACTTCACTTCTGGGTAGGACGTAAAAAGGTAAAGGTTCCCTTGCTCGAAAGCCAGTCGAATCCGACTCTAGGGTTGCGGTGCTCATCTCCGTTTCAAAGCCGAAGAGCCAGCGCTGTCCGAAGACGTTTCCGTGGTCATGTGGCCGGCATGACTAAACACCAAGGCGCACGGAACGCTGTTACCTTCCCACCGAAGGGGTACCTATTTCTCTACTTGCAATGTCTTGCTTTCGAACTGCTAGGTTGGCAGGAGCTGGAACTAGAGACGGGAGCTCACTCCGTCATGCGGCACACTCGGGTCTCGGACTGCTAAACTACCGACCTTCCACAGCCTGCAGTTCAGCGTCTGAACCACTTGAGCCACCGCAGCTCCTTGGCTTTAAATACCTGTTGAGTGTGCCATGGTTTTTTCTCTGTGGCTGCCTTTTGCCAAATTTCCAAGTCTCATGTTATGGATGCTACAAATCTATGAGTATGAATGAAGTATTTCCTGGTGAGCCGTGCTTAAAGAGAGAGGGAACCTGTTGCCAAAGTGCCTGTTGGTGTGGTCCTGCCATTACTACCGCTCTTTGCTCTGCATTGGAAGCACAGGGCTCAGCTCTCATAATACTCTTTTTCCTGGTTAGGCCAGGATCCAACACTCCAGACTATGGGTTATGGTTTGCTCCCTTGCTGTGCTGCACAACCTACGCAGAGCTGGACACAACACGGACAGGTTCTTTTAAGCCTCTGGGGAGGACATGGGAGCAAACCCCACCCATTAAGACTGACAAATTGTGGCGAGTTTATTAGGCATGTCAGCTTGAACTGACTCTTGGTAAGCCAGAGGGCCTTCCACGTGCATTGTACAATAAGCCTGAGAGCATCTCCCGGAGATACGGAGTAGCCGGCTGTTCCCGCCTCCTGGCAGAGGGCACGGTCAGATCTTTGGGAGGAGGGCAAGGAGGAAGCGGCCACCCACTCCTGTGTCTGGCTTTAGTCCTGCTGTACTACAGAGCCCAGTGCTACACAAAGATACTGCCTGAGTTTCCTGGGATGGCCAAATAATTTTTAATTTTTATTTTTAATATCAGCCACACCATCCCGTGCTCAGCATCATGCATATCGCCCAATGTAATATATGTCATCCTGTGCCAAGTCCTCCTCTTCTACCTACGTTGGACAAACAGGTTGGTCCCTACATGAGAGAATCAATGAACCAAAATCAGACATAAGAAATGATAAGATTTAGAGACCTCTGGGGGAACATTTTAATCTCACTGGGGTGTTCTATTACAGACCTGAAAGTCACTATTCTATTATTATTATTTTAAAAAGCAAAGCAAAGGGAATATGCAACATGAAAGTGCTGAATTAGATCTCATAAAAAATTAAACACTACATCCCATCCTGGTTTAAGCAGCTGCTTGGATTTCTTTATTCGCTATACTAATAGTTCTACAGGACCGCTTTTTAGAAATTTTAATTGGCTGTTCTTAAAATGTTTTATTCGACTATAACCTTGTACTGATATCAGTTGATTTGCTCATCTGTTCCAACCTCTGGTCTCCCTCACCGTTGAGTATGTATATCTGCTAATTCTGTTCATTTATGATGGGCCCCATACCTCACCTTTCTACATCAACTCCTCCCTTTCCCTCTTTCACTGAGAATTTTCACCGGAAAGACTCATGGTGCAATTCACAGTGAGCCTTAACTGCTCCCCCCAACCTGCCTCCTAAAAATTCCCAGTACGATTTCCCTTCACATCGTGAGCTGTGACGCAGAAAAACTCATATTGAAACAAACCCTGTTGATCTAAGGTGTGTGAGCGCAGCAGCCACTAGGGGCCACTGTGGTGCATTTCAGCTGTGCACAGCTCTGCCTCCCAACTAGCCATCCCTTCCAAGCTGGAGAGGAACAGGCTGTGGATACCTGATATCTTGACTCCCCCTTTCCCCAAGGAGCTTCCTGCAGCAGTTAGAAAAATATCCTCCTTGACTGGGGGAAAGTAGTGGGCACCCTGGGTAGTAGTGTTCCCTCTAAGCTGAGTTAGTGTGAGCTAGCTCACAGTTTTTTAGCCTCTGGCTCACACATTTTTGTCTTGGCTCAGGAAGGAGGGCTCCAGAGCAAACTATTTTATGCAGTGGCCAAATCACCTGCTCACAACTTTAATGCCAGTAGCTCACCAAGTAGAATTTTTGCTCACAGGACTCCACAGCTTAGAGGGAACATTAGTGACCACGCAATTTTGGAATTTACAGTCTTGGGGAAGGGAAAAGTATGGAGCAGGGGTCATTGGGTATGTGCGTTGGGAAGGGGTCTTTGTGAATTTCCTGCATTGTGCAGGGGGTTGGACTAGATGACTCTGGAGGTCCCTTCCAACTCTATGATTCTCTGATTAACACCATTGCCAGCTACAAGGCACTGTTGATATTGACAGTGCTAATGAATAACTTTAGGAGGGAAGGTGGCGTGGTACATTTCATCAGATCTTGGGGGCTAAGAAGGGTCGGTACTTGGAAGGGACCTCCAAGGAAGACTCTGCAGAGGAAGGCAATGGCCAACCACCTCTGCACCTCACTAGGTGTTTCAGCAGTCATCCTCGGTACCAGCGCTACAACTACCCTCCATATCAGCCGCAGCATCCATTTGCATCTATGCGGTCTCAAACCAGGTGACTTCAGGATGCCCAAAATCCAGGCCGCCTCGACATCATTCCCCTAAGGACCCACAGCAGGGACGCAAGGGGTTATTCCGACTACCACTGCAAAAGCACACCTCAACCCCTTCAGGGATAAACTGGCACCCTTTTATGAACAATGGTGAGAGAGAATCTTGGACAATGGGGTGTTATCTGTGGGTAAACAGGGTTTCTCCCTTGAATGGATTTATAGACCCCCCCCCCTTTATGTGGAGCTGTGGTGGCTCAAGTGGTTAAGACGCTGAACTGCAGGCTGTGGAAGGTCAGTAGTTCAGCAGTTCGAGACCCGAGTGCCGCATGATGGAGTGAGCTCCCATCTCTAGTTCCAGCTCCTGCCAACCTAGCAGTTCGAAAGCAAGAAATTGCAAGTAGATAAATAGGTACCACTTTGGTGGGAAGGTCATAGCGTTCCGTGCGCTTCAGCGTTTAGTCATGCTGGCCACATGACCACAGAAACGTCTTCGGACAGCGCTGGCTCTTCGGCTTGGAAACGGAGATGAGCACCGCAACCCTAGAGTCGGACTCGACTGGCTTTCGAGCAAGGGAACCTTTACCTTTACTTTACCCTCTTTATGGGAACCTGACCTAGCTGCTTCTGACAGTTGCTCCGGGTTATTACAAACATTGGGTGAACTAGTTACTAAAGGAGCTATTGAACAGGTCGCCTCCAACCATGACTTCAAGGGCTTTTATTCCCATTAACTTTGTTATTTCTAAGAGGCTTGGTGATAGTTGGCCAATACCTGATGTAAGGCAGTTGAATTGTTTCCCGAGTGTTCAGCATGGTTACAGCCCCACTTGCTTCACAATTATGCCAATCAAATGTGTTCTTTGGTGTTCTAGGTTTAAAAGATGCCAACTTTCATATTTCAGTTCACCCTCTACATAGGAAATGCCTTCGCTTCACAT